GGGGGGGTATATAGCATAGAAAAAAAGAGAGAGCGATAGGGAGAGCAGGAATGGGGAGGAGCCAAAATTCATCTTTTGTTTCCTGAAAGACGACAGGGAGGAGGAAAGACGAAAGAAAGAAGAGTTGTGCAATTTCAAGGCTGAAGCAAGAGAGGAAAAACTAGTTCTCTGTGATAAAAACGCAACTATAACAAAACTTAATTTGAATAATGAGGAGACAAGTTGTAACACTGCAATCAATGTGTGCCTTTACTAACACCCGTTTAATCACCATCTTTGGTTTATAAGTTTACTCTTGCGTTGTGTTTGTTTGAGAACATTCAAACTTTTTATATTTGCGAGGGATTAGTTATATTTTTGACTTAACCCACTTCCATGAGTAATGCACACTTTCTATATGGGTAAATACACTGTGCTTATGCCATGCATGAATACAGGTTCATGTTTTTATATTTTAAGGAAGTTACTTGAGGAAGTCAGTGCTGTTAGTCTACCCCGCCTTAAGTAAGCGTGTGAAATGTGCTGATTGTGCTGTAGTTCCTTGTTATATACGTTTAGCTTGTTTTGCTTGGCTCAATATTTAACCTGTGACAATGATTTCCTCCAGAAAAAGAACATTCAATTTTATAAGTGAAAAGTTCTTATTACTGCATTATGGTGTTTCTTTATTAAATCATCCATCTATTTAAAAATAAAATATTACTATTCTATTACTATTACTATTCTTTCTAATTATCTTGTTTATGTGCTGTCCTGGCCCCTTTATTAGGCACACCTACCTAGTTGACGTCTTCTTGCCTTCAGAACTGCTTTTTGTATGGCGTAGATTAAAAGATGCTTAAATCCATATGAATTTGTTGGTTGAACATTCATAATGTAAAGTTGCTCTACTGAATTGCCAATATCCTCCCCCCCACCATTACACCACCACTGCTAGCCTGAACCATTGGTATAAGGCAGGGTGGATCCATGCCTTCGTGTTATTTACAGCAGACTCACCAGATCAGAGCTTCATTTGTCCAATTTCAGTGAGCCTGTGTGAAGTGTAGCTTCAGTTTTCTGATCTTTGCTGACTGCATTAGTACCTGGTATGGTCTTCTGCTGCTGCTCTGCTTTAAGGTTCAAATATGCTCTTCTGCATACCTTGGTTATAATAGCTGATTATTTGAGTTCTTGTTGCCTACTTTCTCTGACTTCTGTCATCAACAAGGCATTTTCAGCCAGAGAACTGCCACTCAGTCCATATTTCTTTCATTTTTGGACCATTCTCTGTAAACCCTACAGATGGCTATGTGGAGAAATCCCAGAATATCAGCAATTTATGAAATACTCAGACCAATCTTTGTGGTGCTAACAACTAGGCTGCATTCAAAGCCACTTAAAAATCACCTTTCTTCCTCATTCTGATGCTCGTTTTGAACTCTGTATACCTAAATGCACCGAGTTGCTGTTGCATGAAATATTTGTATTAATGAGCAGCTGAACAGATGTGCTTAACAAAGTGGTCAGCGAGTATATATGTCCTCGCCATTTTTATCATGTTATTTTCTGTTGATTCCTTTTGCGCATAAAAACTAAGCCTTTAAAGTAGACCATTATCAGAAGGAGAAATCTTATCAGTGATGTAATATGGCCGTTCTCTCCTTCATGCTCTATTGTTCCCTAATAATACCTCATAGGTGTGTCCAAAAATGCAAGCAACAGCTAGTGTGTCATCCAATTAGTCTCCAATTTTCCATCTGGGTGCTTTGGTCTGGTCACCGACAGTAAATACCTGTCCAGACTGACTGCAGTGATGTCATCTACACATTAGCCACTTGATAACGGCTGTGATATAAGCGGCCTCAGACGCCCCTCTAACTGCCAGCGCCTAACCTAGTTTAACAGCAATGATGGTTACATCACACGCTCACTATTGGTAAATGTCACAGACAGCCAGTGGGCGAGTTGTTCAAATCCAAAAAGAGGCAGAGGGTTAGCGAAACTGTTGTTTTCAACACCAGCATTTCCTCCCATCATTCCTTTCATGCACTGTTGTATTGTTTTAAACAAAATTTAAAATGAGCAGTACCCTCCTCCCTTACCTTTTTTCCCCCTTTAGTTACACAGTGAAGTGGACCACACATGGCTCTGGGCCACTGCCTCTTTCTTTAAATAAAATAACCCAACCTCTTTTTTCTGGCCCTGTTTCAAAGAACTATGATGGAAATTACGTCGACTCCAAATTTTCCAAAGGTAAACCTAGTAAAAGGAAAAAAACACAGTTTAGACAAGACAACGCTAAAAAAGCAGGTCAAAGGGACGAGCTGCAGATTGCCTCATATTTGCAAATATATGAGGCACGTATATATGAGCAGCCTTGACATACTGAACCAGAGACCTGTCAACCGTGACATTTGATGTACTAAAACACGTTATTTTTGGCTGTTTTGGGTCCTCCTGGCTTTTTCCACAACACTTTCATGCTTATTTCACACTGCAGCACCGAACAGTGGCAAGCGATAGCATTTTCTGAGCAACAGTGGAGTGGGGAAGCGGTAAAACCCCTGAATGTTTCTCTTGTAAAGCTTGACTTGAAGTAATCTTCTCTATCGCAGCCAGTAGCAGCAGCTGGCGGGAACAGACCTGAGACGCTTTCTAACTTAAAAAACAAGGTTTTCCACCTCTGCACTGTAAACATGTGTAACTAAATGTGTTTCTGATCAAATTTGCGACGAGAAAAAGCCCACGAACCAACGTATAAATTAGGTGCAAACCGCAGCAGATACTTTAAAAATTTGCTGTGGGATTAGGAGGTTTGTGAGATTTGCTCCACACTGCAGAATGTATCAGCCACTTGCTGTTTCAAGAAGAAGCACCCGAGCTGTCTCGTATTTTAATATCATAACCGTGATATATTGAACTCAACAAATTATGCCAGTTAGTAGTTAAACTGATTAGTAATTGAGAAATGTCTCTCTGACACATCACAGTTGCATGTATCCTATTAAAAGGAATGTGTTAGGTGCTGGAGGTCTCAGACCAAATGCAAACTGACATCCCTGTGTCGACTAGAGAAGCAACAGACGTGTTTATCTTGTTTCTGAGGCTGACAGCGACTTCAGCTAACATACGAGAGACAAATATTCCCCAGGAGATGGAAGAAATATGAAGCATATTTGGTGCTTCTAAATAAGGACAGAGAAAGGCGACACTGCGGGGATATCTGCACTGTTCAAGCTCCACGGGGAGCAAGGAGGAAACAAAGGGGGGTGGATGGGTAGTAGAGAGATATAAGGGAAAAAATAAAAAAATGTTTAAAAGAGATTGAATATTTAATGATTTTCACGAGGGAAAAGGTGAAACAGAAGAGGGAAAGAACTGGGGATAGACTTCCTTTGGTTTTTCCTGTTCATCCTCTCTCTCTAACTGCCTTCACCTCGCCTGCATCTGCCCTCCTTATCTGACTGTGATGATTTTTATCATCTTCCTCTCCCAGTTTCTATCTTGATCTTATTCACACTCCATCAACCACCACGACACACTCCACCCCTACCCCATTCCTCATTCCTGCATTTCTCTCTCTCTTTTTCCCACTCTCAGGCGTTCTCACCATACATCTCCACCCTCCCACTCCTTTTCTCTCTATAGTCACTGCAGCGTGTCTAATGGTTCGGCTCCTCAGCAGATCCACCACGCAGAGGCCGGGCGAGCAGCCGCCCCGACTGACGCCTCCCGACCACTGGCCTTATCAAGACTGACAGCGAACTAGACCCAGAGCTATCGCTAACACACACACATGCTCACTCGCACAAACAATTGCAAAGATACACGCCTGCACATCCACAAAGACACAAGCTTAATAAATGCACACTCATGCAAGACGAACGTACTGACACTGAAAGGCAGGTACACGGAAATAATATTTCTGCAGCACACACTAACGAAAGGATGCCTGCGACACTTAAATGCACTCACGCAGACAACTAAACGTAAGGCAGCTGCATCGCATTGAAGCACACATGCAGACGCAGGCACATACAGACACACGCATGGGCAACAAATTGGATTTATGGATGCTGACAGTGAGCTGCAGAACAATGTGGATGCCACTACAGAAGAGAGTAGATACTGCAGAAACAATCTAATCTACTGTAGGTGGAGATGGGTACCGCAGGCGTGAAGAATCCAGCCAACATGTGGAAGGGAAGGGGGGGGGGCGAGATGAGTGAAAAGAGGCTGACTAGGTGGGACCAACGGGAGAGATTAAGGATCAGAGCGCTAGAAAGGAAAAGGAAGGGGGAAGAGGAAGTTGAGGAGTGCAAAAGGATGGGCACAGTAAGAAAAGAATAAAGGAAGTAGTCAAGTAGTCTCTTTGATTCTGGCCTGAAACTTGTGCTGTGTTATCTTCCTGTTTCGTTCAAGGAGTAGAGAAGAACCTATTTGAAAACTCAATAACAGTATGAGAGTGTGAGGTTAAAAATGAGAAATGCTCCAATGTCTGATCAGCATAACAAAAATCAGTTCTTACTGGATGAGCTGCTTTCTTGAGCTGTTTAATAAAAGAGGAAATGGACTCTTTTAGATGTTTTCATTATGCTAAACAGCAGACCAAAACGTAAAGATTAGAACCATGCACCTGGGCTCAAACAAGGCTGTGTGAGAGTGGTTACAAACTGGATACTCCGACGCTCTAGTGGCTGGGACACCGATCATGTTATACCTTGATCATATACAAGCACAGACAGCTCGAGGCGCAACGGCTGAGCAGTCATTCCTGTTATACTTCTTGAAGTCTGCCGCCTGGGGCGCATGGGTAGTTGGTGCATTGTTATGTAAATCCTCTGCGGACATCTGCAGAGACCCTCGCTGTCACCGTTTACATCTCTCGGACCCAAGTGCTTATAAGTGGATGTAGAAATAATAATTGGGCACTGGATGATTTAAAACCCTGTAAGCTGCCAAAAAAAGATATAGGAGAAGAAAGCCTGTTCTCTAAAAAGAACATGGCAGCATGTTTGGAAAAGAACAAACAGAACATATTAGCACAAACACCTTATACCAGCCGTCAAGCACGGTGGTGGACGGGTGATGATTTGGGCTTGTTTTGCAGCCACAGGACCTGGACACTTTGCAGTCAGAGAGTCAACCGTGAACTCCTCTGAATACCAAAGTGTTCTCGAGCCAAATGTGAGGTTGTCAGTCCGACAGCTAAAGCTCGGCCCAAATTGGATCATGCAACAGGTCAGTTATCCCAAACACAGCAGCAAAGCTACAACAGAATGGTTAAAAAAAGAAAATAATCAAGGTTGCAACCCGATTGAAATGCTGTGGTGGAACCACAAAAGAGCCGTGCATTAACACATACCTGCAAACCTCAATGAATTCATTTAAGCAATAATGTGAAGAAGAGTGAGACAAAGTTCCTCCACATCAGTGTGAGAGACTGATAAAGCCATACAGTGAATAAATACTTTAAATTATGCAAGCTGTTGAGACAAAGTGTACTAAGTTTTTAGTTTTTCACTGAGATACCTGTGAAATTGTTTGTTTTTTATACAAGATTACTGTATTTTAACCGTGTTATTAATGGTGATCTATTGGATTTTGTTTAGATTTTTACCTATTAGGCTCCTTTGTGTCATTTGTTATATTGTATTCACTTCATTCAGCTTTTCTACTTTATTTAAGTTATTTTGTTATAGATTGTGTTTAATGTTTTAGCTACAGTAAAACAGGGGTTTTGCAACTTTTGCATGAAGTGTCCTATCTAAGCTTATTAATATTAATTTTTGGGACTCACAGTGGTTTTGGCTCTTAATACCTCACATACTTCACTGCTCATATGCGCTGAGGAGTGCACAGCCCTCTCAACACTTACGTTTAAAGACTCGCTCTCTAATCGGCTCCCTATTTATGCTTCATAAGGATGTTTTAGATGCTGTATTTGTCATACGATGAGAGCTGATACTCAGACTTTTTTCTATATAACCAGCAGCAACATGTAAAAACCCTTCTGGGCAGAATTCATCGAAGCAGTAATCCCCACGTGTCTGCAAACATCTTACTTACTAAACAACAACCCTTTCACAGAAAAATAAACAAATTCTTACATTCACACACAACCAAGCCTTCATACTGTTAAGTACACAGAGGAAGGGGGTGTGGGGGGGTTCACCCTTATTAGCTTGGCACAGAGTTATCTCTTCAGACCTTAAACACACTACAGAATAGCCGCTGTCATCACACAAACCCGCACACACATACATAGACACACACAGAAAATTACACACAGGAAGTCTGTGATATGGGGCCAAAAATACATCACAAACCTTGCATCACCTTCCTCTCAGTGTGTCCACTCTTCCACTGTGTCCCAAAGCTGGGTGGAGGTGTGTGTGTGTGTGCGTACGGGAGGTGTGGCATGCAGTAGATAATGGGCCAATTGTAAGTGATTAGAGTTGGAGCCAACCAATCAGCACAGCCTGGTACTGGACTGTGGCCAATGGCAAGATGTTCAGCGCAGCTGGGGGAGGGCGCTCTCGCTCACACACAGGAAAAGAAATGTGGCCGAGCCTTTGCACAGTACCTCCTATAACTCAGTGCATGTGTGTAAATATGTTTTTACAATTTTGTTTCTTTTTCTTTTTCAAATTGATTACATACAATTTATTTTTAGATGGACGTCCTTAAACAAAACCCAGAGTTGGTTTCCAAACAGACTAATGTGAACAAACTGAATAACTAACAGCTTTTTCTCCATCAGTGTCATTTGTTTACACTATGCCACAAACAATTTTTTCTCTTTCTGCCTTTTCTGTAAATGTAGCAACGTGTTATTAATGTTTAAATATGAGTCACTCCTGTGCACCACATATAACTTGTTGTCATCGTCACCAGCCTTTACTGTAGTGTATAATTTTCCAGACTCCAGCTCATCATCTTGAGTTTGTTATTTTGTCCTGTAAACTTCTAAATATCCTTTACGCTGATTTAAAACAATGAAAGCAGCCGAATTCTGGCATTTGGAAAGATAAAAGTGTTGTTTTCAGACTGATATCTCATCCTGATTATTGTAGGAGTAGCAAATTTTCTGTTCTTCCACCAGCTTCAATAATTGTTTAAGCATTATGCAGTTATACAAGAACTCTGGGCCAGGCTTTTTGTCCACAGCTTTGTGCTTCAGCTCTGAGCTTTTCTAGACTTTTACAAAGTCTGCATGTGTGAGACAACTCATGTAATTACGCAGTAAATTCACAGTAAACCACGGGGCATCAAGAGTCTGCCTTCTTGCACGCTCTACCCTGGCAGCTGCCTCACCTGAATATTTACAGTCGTCCTTTTGAGGCCAACATGTAAGTAAGAGAACTGCTCCTGCCTGGTTGATGCATGTAAATTGCTTCTCCTCTGCCAAAGAGACACAAGGGTAAAGTCTAGAAATGTTCAGGGACGCAGTGCATGTTGAAAGCAGCTTAAGTGTCTCCAGTGTCATCCATTCGTTCTGCTTTTAGCGCAAAACCTCGTTTTTTCTCTTATCCCTGTTGGTTTTCATTTAACTGCATTTCTACTGTATATATAAATAAATGTGATGAGTGACTAAAAAGGATCAAACTAAGCTCTGCTTGAAAGGGATGATTCAATAAAACAAGCCTAGAGAAACCAATAAACACAATAAGAGGTTATTAAATCACACATTATTATTTTTATTTGGATGGAAGATTTGGTGCCAGGTGTTCATGTGAAATATGGTTTTAATACTGCGCGCTGTTTACATCAAAGCTGTTAAATGCATCATCTGTTTGTCTTCCTCAACAGCTTTGTTATGACTTTGGCTCGTGTTCCCACGTGCCACTAATTTTCCCAATAATTTTTTTTGAGTTTCTTTATTTGAAGCATTTTTCTTTATCTGGGCTTTTAAACCATTTAAAAACTAAGATCCATGTAAATATAGCCACTATTTATTTACTGATTTCATTACAGAAATATCTCATAGTAACGTTGGGTGCTTATGGTTGTTAAAGCTATTTTTCTCTATTATTGCTCATGACATTCAAGGCTGTGAAATGACAAAATATGCCTTTTATTCTCACAAGTCTCAACACTTAGAGGACAATAATAATAATGATGATGGCTGGGCTCTTTTGGCTGCTTCCTTGTTTACCCAAGGGGCTCTGCAGCGGATAGAACTACATGTTTGATTTGGCACATTTTTTACCCCGGATGCCCTTCTGAATGCTCCCCTCCTATTTATCCAGGCTTGGGACTGGCACTGGGAGTACGCTAATACTCCTTAAATACAAATAAGCTGGGGGTTAGTTGACTGACACTGGGTCTGTGTCCTCCCAGCCCTAAAGAAGGGATATTTCATAACAATAATAAGAATGTTTCTTACCGACATGCAAAAACTGTTTACATGTTTCCAACACTAAAGGGTTATTCAGTCATTCATCCCTTTCCCTTGATGCTTTCTTTCTTCCTGCTGAATAACTTCAAACTTTTTAAAAACACAATGATGGTTAATTTTTTAACCATCATTGAACCTGTGACCAAAAAATCTACAGTAAGTTGTGTCAACAACTATTGGCCAGTTCCTCTTACCATGATCATTCCTAAATACTTTGAAAGACTGCTATTCAATCACATAAAGCTATGCGTCACAGCGGAGGTAGATCACCAGGTATGAGACTTTAACACCAACTGCTCTCAGACTGTCAGCCTGGGCAGGCAAACACTCCCCATCCTCACTCTGACCACGGAGTTCTGCAAGGCTATGTGCCGAGACCCTTCCTGTATGCTCCGGACAGACATGACCATCAGTGCATGCACAAGACGAATACCACTGTTACGTTTACAGATGATACGACAGCCATTGCACTCAATTTGACATCATAACAATATGATGTCATGTGTGTGTTTTAATAACACACACACCAAAGACATGATTATAGAGTCCCGAACCAAAAAGAAAACCACAGACACACCGCTACACATCCATAGAGAGAGTCTAGTGCGCACCACACTGCCACCAACACTGCAGCTTTTACAGCACAGTAGAGAGCATCCTCGCAGCTTGGTGTGGTAGCTGTACCAAAGCTGACAAAAGGCCCTCCAGCATGTTGTGGAAAGATTGTAGGCACAGAGCTACCATATCTGGATCATCTTTGCACCACTTGCTGTGTGAAGAAGGCCACAAAGACTCTCCAGACCTCCATTTGTTCAAGCTTCGCCCATCAAGCAGGTACTTCAGAGGTGTACAAACACGCAAATAGGCTGAAACGCATCCTTACACACAGAAAAACAAAATCACCTTTCACTAAACAGGACAAACTGGAATGGGTTAAAACAGTGCAGCGCTCATCCTGGATGTCACCACCTTTCTGTACTTCTTCCTGGAGGTGTATTAGTCTTTTTTTCCCATTTCATTTCTCAGAGTTGCAAATCTGAAAGTATTGGTGGAAGTTGCACTTGTTTAAATGTCTTATGTCCTTACTGTTTACATCCTTTTTTACTTAGACAGAAATACCCATCAAAATAATGTTCTATACCCAAGTTTGAGGCAACACACTGGACTTATCTGAAAAGTGAGGAATTTATCAAACTACAAAAACGTTTATGTTTAGGAATGCAAGCAAATAACTGTAAGGTATAAATACTTTTCTATTATCCTATTTATTTTTATTTATTTTCCTCCTACTGTTTGTGTATGTACGTCCGTGCGTGTTGTGCTGTGTGTAAATGTTGTGCACAAGGTTAGGGAGGGAGTATAACTGTCACTTCGTTATGTTTCCATAGTAAGTGCTGAATCCTGAACGTCTTCAGAGTCAGTACTTACACCGTCCCACCAGATGGCGATAGTGAGCGCTGAGCCCATTCTGAGCTGATAGAAAAAAAACACAAACAACCACAAGAAAACCACAAAACCAAGATGGCGGTGCAGGAGACAGCATCTCAACTGTCCATGGCTCTCAAAGTCCAAGAATATCCCACCCTGAAGGTAAACACAAACGCATAATGGTGTATATTGATAGCCCAATGAGTCTGCTGTTGCAAAAATACGCGATGCGTACTGTGCCACTTGGAAAGAAATCGGAATTAGTCGTTCATTAGATAGCGAGTGAACTCGTCAGGGAGGCTAACGCTAGCTGAATTAGCTTAGCCAGGCACCCAGTGTCCGTAAAGTGCTTGTTTTTATGAACGGATGTAAAAATATGAGTGGTCCCCTAAATTATATAAGCTGGGGGTTAGTTGGTTAGCTTCCTGCTGGGTTAATTCTTTTTATTATGGACTCTGAGTCCGTCAGAGGCCCAAAAGCTGATCGCTTGACTTTTTGTTGGGTTTGGCCTGATTATCCTTTTAACCATGGCTCGTGAGCTCACCTAAGTACCTACCACCTACCTAAGGGTGCATCACCTTAAAGATGGCTGGCTTGTGGGAAGCATGCTTTTTTGTGTAGTGTATGTGTGCGAGTGTAGAGCTTGTCTCCTGCGCTGACCTGGACATTTAAAAAAGACACTGGGATAGGAGGTTTAAGGGTTACAGTTTATATGGTTACATGGAAGCAGCATGGTTACTCGCCCCCAGTCAGAGAAGTGACATGCAAACGTGATTGGCCTGCTAACTCGGCCGTTAGCTTAGCTACGGCACTTAAAACCAGTATTTGTCGTGTTTAACGAGCAGCCTGCCCAATTCATAACGTCAAAGCAAGCGAAATCCGGGCTGGTTCGGAGATAGGTGGGTTTAAAGCTTTCGGGGGAGGAGGAAGATCCCCTAACCCGGTGCTGTCAGGCGGAGAAGCAGCACCGTGAGTTAGCGCAGTGTCATCAGATTGCTGCTGCTGCCTCTCTGTACTTCAAAATGGCCAGTGAGAGAAATCACAGCCTGCCGCCGCCGCACACACGCACGGTTTTCCTCCATTCCACATAACGCTGCTGCTGCGACACCGCTGCTAAAAGACAGGTCCGGGCTGCTTCCTGTGATCAGGAGAGCGTCGTCATATAAAGACAGCAGGGCTGTGAGTACCGGCGCATTATATGCTTTTGTGTGATAACTAATTGTGTAATGTTGCATGATGGATAGAGGCATTTCCTGCTGCAGCTGATGTTAAAATGCCTCTGTGCTGAGCATGCATGGCTTTGGTTTGGGGATGTCTCTGGCTGCTATGGTTGGATGCTGCAGTGAGATGATGGGCACCATTTTAAGACAGGAGTGATGGTTGTAATTGGCATCAAATGGGAGTTTACAGCTGCAGGACAGCAGTGTTGATTACATTTGGAGCTGTATTGAGCAGAATTTTATCATTGTAATAATGCCTGTCCCAGAAACTGAAGAAGGTTCTAATCTGATCTGTATTTCTGCATTACTAAGCATATATAAAGATCTCACAATTAAGACACAAAGGTATTAAAATGTTGAGAGCAAAATGCAGTCAAAATGATAATTAAATCACTTGAGCCTTGTATTGATTATTACTGTGATTGTTATTAATATGTAATGTTTGCTGTTCGAAATGGGCTTCCTGTTGTCTCTTCCAAGGATTCACTTAAAACAATTATGAATGATAACCACCATACTCATATACTGTATGGCTTTTACTGTGATAACAGTCTGCTTTGTGTTCATGGCTGAATTACATGTTCACTCTTGACTAAATCAAGGTCATATCATAAAGGGGTTACTAATCTTAGCAATGTTATAGCATCTAGTAGCCAGTCAAATTCAGAAAGGGGGTATTTCAGTTTTCCCAACATGCAGCTAAAAAATTTTTGCAGACATGGGCCTTATGGATTATTTAAGAATATGTGTTATTTATTTTATAAAAATGTATCTGAAAAGCTGTTAACAAAAGACTTTATGGCTAAATTATAAAGGAGAATGTGTGCTTCCATGTGTGGTCACCACCCTCAAGCCTTCTTTTTGAGCCAGGAAAACCCTGGGTTAGCACAGTCAGCAGGTATGCCATTGACATGACCATCTACAGAAAAAGTTATGAGTCTGTTTGGATTGCCATGAGGATGAGTCTGCCACAGAAAAAATATGTAATCATTTTCGTTAATTAGAGCTTACCAATCTACCATTTAGCTACTATGTTACTATGTTACCAAAGCCTGCTACATGTGTTTTTCCCCAGAACAAAATCAAAAACATTGACATGTTCAATAAGTGTTGTGAACTGAGGAGACTACACATTTGTGCCTGTCAGCTGGCCAATAACAGCAGGACAATTAATAGATTTATATTAAAAATGTAACACAGACATATTGAAATGACTTTGACGTAATGCAAACTGATTATCTCTAATGACCCTCTCTGAGCCAGGAAAAACTTTTTACCTACGTTATAAATATACCTCGGCTCTTCCTTACATCTTGCTAAAATCATCGTCTTCTGTGTTGAAAAATTTGAGTTGTGAGTACCGGTAGTTATTTGTTGATCTGGGCAACCAGAATATTTGCTGGTCAATAACTTTGTCTGTGGCAAATCCTGACTCTAATGTAGTCGTCACTGAAAGATATTAGGGAGTGGAGGCTGACATAAAGGTAATGTTTAATCTCTGTTATATTCTGATGGGAGCTGTTAGTGTAATACGAAAAAAGGACATCCAATAATTTTTTTGTATATACCAATATGTGGTAAAGTAAGCTATCTGAGAAATGCGGCCCATTTGGGCTTTGCATTTGGTGCTGCATTTAACAGTTTGCCCCCCCCCGATTCCTTCCTCGCCATCTTAGTAATCTGTGACATAAACTTGGCTCTGAATTAAAAGAAACGCTCCTTTCAATCGGTCAAAGCACTTCTTTTGTTGATCCAGCATGTCAGCAGAGGGAATATCAAGAATCACATGAAACTAGTTAAGTACTTTTATTGTTGTGCAAAGAAAATAAGTACATCATTTAACAAAGCAGGTTTCTCTGAAAAGGACGTGGTTTCGAATGCTTTTTTAGCTTTTTCAAGCTGAGTTTTCAGAAGTTTACAGACTCTGACTGCGCTCCAGTGTGTGCCAACTGGTGAGGGGAAATGGTGTTTTTTTTTTTCCCCCTTCTCTTTGTGTTCTGGATGAAGTTCTTGAATCTGTTGTGACAGCTTACTTGCTTTTCTAAAATTGAATGACCATAAATTGATATGGAAGTTTTATTTAAAGTGAACTGACGGAGAAAGTAACATTTTTACAGAAATCTGTTGCAGTTTTTCAGTTTAAGTATTAGGAAATGTTTAAGCAGGAGTTTAGCATCATGTTTTTGTTCTTCATTCCAGATGAAACGGCATAAATTAGAGAACAGAACATCTCAAATTAAGGATAATGATGGCCAATTGTTCTGTATCAAGGATAAGAAAAAGTAAAGCTTTAGTATTTAAACAGTTTTCTACCATATTGTCTTGAGGTAATTCACATATTGAGCTATAATTGTAGCTTATAAAATTACACTAAGATGCATTAATCCCCTTGAATGAATGTCTGAAATAGAACATTTATGATGTGTACAGGTGCCATACGAGACTCTGAACAAACGCTTTAGAGCGGCTCAGAAGAACATCGACAGAGAGACGAGTCACGTCACAATGGTAGTTGCGGAGCTGGAGAAAACGCTCAGCAGCTTCCCCGTGGTTGACTCGGTGGTGTCCCTGCTGGATGGAGTGGTGGAGAAACTCAGTGCCCTGAAGAGGAAGGTAAGAGATACAGGCATACACATTTTCCAAGCGTAACAGTCAAGTCCTTCCAGACTGGTAAGAGTGCCAAGTTTCCTTTTAGTTTTAGTGAGGGAGTTTGCAGGTCTTGAACATCATGTTTTTGAAGGCATAAAAGTCGATATTTTCCGCCACCTTTTATGATAACACTTGATTTTATGAACATGCATAGCTTTGCACATGTTCTTTTCATCCCTAACAGTAAATCTCTGATGGCGCTGACTCTCTGCGGTTGCTTGTTTTCTGTTCCACTGAAGCTGACCACACAATAGAGGTTCTATCAGTTTCAACTTTAGCCTTTTCTCTGGAAGCAGTCTGAAGCACTGCTTTTATACAAAAAGGCAATTACAGAGATAATCAGGCCCAACAGGAAGATGGCTTTCAAGTGCAACTGTGCAGCTGTATATAGCTCTATCATAATAGCCATCCATGTGTATGTTGTCATTGCTACACTTACAGGCCTGTGTTTTAAAATGTTTCTGGCATTATTTAAAATCTCGCTTCTGGAAAGAGAGAAAACGGTTTCCAGAAGGCCAGAGAAATCTCAATTTTACTTGGCAGCTGTTTGAACGCGATTGAGGGAAGAAATAACTTGATGCTCTTTGTAAAGAGATAAAGTGCACGCCTTAAAAGAGGTACTTCAATCGTGCAGCTAAATTTTGGTCGTGCGGGCCTTTCTAAGTTACTCGAACCCGTCTGCACACCATCATTTTACCTAACATGTAAAATAGTGTGAAGAGGTAAAGCAGAACCAACCACCTACATCTTGTTAACCTGGAGTAGAAAAGCTGTTATACATCTATGCATCACACGTATTATCTTCTTTACAAACAAAATCTTGCTGCACGTAGAGCCGACCATGGAAAACCACAGTAATCACTGTTTTAGCAAAAGCACCTCATTAGGTGGATTGCATTTGTTTGCCAAGGAATGCTCCAAGGGTGGCTCGTGTGTTGAGCTGTCAAATCACACTTTTGCTTTTTTTAAAAAAATAAAAAATGTACCTTTATGTCGACATTCTCAGCAGATACAAACGGTTCATTTTGGGCGGGGGAAGGGGGGGAACTTTAATTGTGTATCAGGTTATGTCATTAGACACTGCACTGATTGGGCATCTGAAATCTGAGAAGTGAAAAATAAATCATGCTTTGTTCCATTTCTACCAGGAAAACAATGCTTATCTAAACTGGTGTTATACAATTTTATATTTGTTTCTTTTTCAATTTACTCTAAAAGTACAAGATGTGCTGAAAAGCGAGCCTAGGATTGTAATTATGTGCTGAAGGATCACCGAGTCCTTACTGCATGTAACAGTGGGAAGAAATTACTCCTTTGTGGTTGTGATCCATAATTTACATCCTGCCACGTCTGTGAAGCAGAAAGCAGCAGTTTTGTTCCAACGAAACTTGAGCAGCGTTCAAGGTTTCTGACTTCTTGGTTTCAGTGTTCAGGGTTTGTTCCTGTTCTAAAGTCAACCATGTTACATGTCATAAACATAATTCATTTTAATTATCCTTCTTAGAGAAACGATTAACAGGAAGCATTTTGTAGCTCTCGTGATTGTGTTTGTGTCCCGTAGGCTGCAGAGTCCATTCAAGCAGAAGACGAGAGTGCCAAGCTGTGTAAGCGTCGCATCGAGCACTTAAAGGAGCACAGCAGCGACCAGCCAGCTTCAGTTAACCTGTGGAAGAAGAAACGGATGGACCGCATGATGGTGGAGCATCTGCTGCGCTGTGGCTACTACAACACAGCTGTGAAACTGGCCAGACAGAGCGGTATAGAGGTAATTACAGGGCTCCTACAGTTCATGTACAGAAAGAGGCAAAGGTTTTGGGTTTTCTGTATTTCTTCATAAATATGACCTGAAATCATTTTTTTAAAAAGAGAACCTAATTAAAGAAATTGTTCTATGATTTACATTTCTTTACTGAGGGTTTGATCCAGTATTATGTATCTGCAAGGGGAAAAGGTATTAACCTTTACTGTCAGTATGTAGTGCAGGAGTAATTGCAACTTAACTTCTGATGTGCAGAACTTGTCGTTCTGCACATCAGTTTAAAGGACTTTTAACCAGTTCCTTATATACAGAGTGTTTAACTCCAAGAAGGATTTCGCTGATACAGACCAGCTGGTTGGTCAGTGGCAGGCCCTGTTCAGATCTGTGGCAGATCCCTGCTGGATCTCCATCTGCTCCTTGGCTGTTAGGAGATTTAGTGAATACAGCCCTGACTCTTAAAGCAGAATCCATGGTACTGTCCTTGTGTTTCTGTGGCTTTTGGCTATTGAGAGTGAAGGATCATGGATGTTCTGTCTTTGCACATGTGCTTGCATATGGTCATTCAAAACAACAGCAGCATGTGGCACTACGGTGGTGATGATAGGCAGAGGTAGAGTTAAAGGGAGCAAGAGTGGAATTCAGCAGCAGCTTGAAGTACAGCCTGTGGCTACACTGGACAGCTTTCATTGTTCTTAACACTCTGCTTCCTTACACCATAAAAAGCTCTTTGTTATGATTTAGACTTGCAGTTGAAGGTAAACCAAAAAGACCAACAACAGCGCGTACACGAACAGAAAAACATGAGCGTGAGCCAGTGTGAGAGGCCTTTAGTTTCTGAGAAGCACGTTACCCGGGGTTACTTTGTCACCTCGGGTACTATTACACATTTTGCTCTCTGAGGAATATTTGTTAGTCAAGTATTCCCAGGGAGGGTAACAATGGTCTTGAATTTCTCT